AAAACAGCAAAATGTGAATAACTTTCAGTAAAAGTGGCAGCCATTTTGAATTTAGAATATAAAAGTTATGAATGTTGAGAGAAGTTGAGATATAAAATGACAAGTTACAAGTGAACAGATATCCAGATATTTATATGTGAACTCTGTTAATCAAATTCTGTTATAGCTTACTGTAATGATAGATACTGATTTCAAAATCTTTTTTAACAGATCATCCTACTGAAGATCAAATCAAAATCAATCAAAAGGTCTGGGTAGTTTAGCTTTACTGTCTGAAACTTGATGTAACACAGATCTTTTGATTGCATCAATATTACTAATGAACTGAGTAAGGTTCTTTAAATCTGTTTAAATTGTATATATTTAGTGTAAATCAAATTCAATCAAGAGGTCCGATACTTGATTGAATATGGATCATTAACTAAGTAAGCCTATTTCAATATGTTTTAATTGCATATATACATTGTAAATCAAATTCAATCAGCAAAAAAAGTACTTTAGTTTTACTCTCTGAAATTTGAACACAGATCATTTGATTGCTACTAGTTTAGCTAACAATCTATGTGATTGTATATATTCACTGTCAATCAAATTCAATCAAACAGGTCTGGGTAGTTTAGCTTTACTGTCTGAAACTTGAGTGAATCTAGATCATTTGATTGGAACCACTTTACTTATACCCAACTATGTAATACTGAGCAAGGCTTTTTATCATCTGATTTATTTTCAGTTTTAAATCAAATCAATCAACAAGTCTGTCTGAAACTTAATCTTTTGATTGAAAAGTGATGATGATCAGATGATGAACTTTCTTTAACAAACCAAGTAAGCCTCATGTATTTTGGCTAATACCTTCTATTTTTGTGAAATAGAATGAAAAGGTTTTTTCAAATTGTCAAATGCAGCAATCTTGTTTTTGAATAATTGTAAAAAATAAAGCAAGCCTGTTTTGGAATTGTGAAAATAGAGCAAGCCTAGCTGTTTTTGAAATAGAGGCTTTTTTTTTGTCGATTCATTAGACTTCAAATTTTTCTGTCCTTTTATTTTCCATTTAAAACTCAAGACTGTTTTGAGTAATTGAATTGTGTATATATCCAACCAACTATTAATACTTTGATTGAATCAAGTAATCAATCAGAGAAATGTTTTGATTATTAATGTCTAATCTAATCAATAATAAAGTAAACAGTGTCATCATTGAACATCAATGACATGAGTAAATAATGTTCACATATAAATATCTGGATATCTGTTCACTTGTCATTTTATATCTCAACTTCTCTCAATATTCATAACTTTTATATTCTAAATTCAAAATGGCTGCCACTTTTACTGAAAGTTATTCACATTTTGCTGTTTTAAGAAATCAAACTGAGACTAGATTATCAGGTTTAACAGAATCAAAACAAACTGTTCGAACAACAGAAATGAAGATGAGATTATCAAGACTTAAAGAAAACCTTCAACAATTAAATACTGGAAGATACCAAAATCATTTGTTATCACCTTGTAAGACTGGAAGTCCAAGAAGAAGATATACTCCTGTAACAGTTGTAAGAAATGGTAGAAAAACAACAATTTGCTGAGGAGCCAGAGAATTAAACAGAGTCTAATTTCTACTGAAAATAAAATAACAAGAAGATATAGTGCTATGAAACCAGATCTGTTATTGTTTGATATTGTTATCTTACAAATTTGTTTATTTACCAAAATCAAAGACATTCACCTATTTCCAAGGAATAAATAGTACCAAGAAGATATAGTGCTGATGAAACTAGAATTGTTATTTTGTTATTGTTTGTTTTGTACCATGTTGTTATTATATTTGTTATTTATCTTAAAATAAAACAATTCACTAAATTATACTGTCTGATATTCTTTTCTAAATGAAAAATTCTGCCTTTTACCATGTCTGTTCTTCTAACCTCTATCACTGACAACTGAAAATCAGTTTGTAAAATTTGAATAAAGATACTGTCTCATGCTTTGCTATATGCAATTTCAAACTTATTTATACTTCTCTGCAAAAAGAATTGATTTCAAAAGTGATCTGGACTATTTTTTACAATAGAAACCTTTGCCCTTCCAGAACAGAATAGTGAAAATCATAGGTCACAATAAGAATGAACAATTTTGTTATTGTGGTTTTAATATCTTGCTTAGATAAATGCCATACTGATACTTTAAATGTGTTCACTATAATTAATCAATTTATCTTATATTACTATAACTTAATCATTTCATCAATATGACAGAATAATCATTTCATCAATATGACAGAATAATCATTTCATCAATATGACAGAATAATCATTACTAATGACAGATAACTAGTCTTATAAATATCTATATAATTTTTTCTAAATCATTATTATATCATCATTATCTTATTCTATTATAAACATTATCTTATTATAATATAAACAACATTATCATCATGTTTCCGGAATCTAGAGATAATTTATATTGTGAAACTTATAATTCCTGTAATACAAGTTTCTTTTCTGAAACTCCAGTTATTTGTAAAAGTAACAAGTTTTGTCAAGTTGTAGAAACTGATACAGTTGAATTCAAAAAGAAATTAGTCAATAAGAAAATTGATAGAAGATTAAAAGAAATTCAGAAAAGCAGACAGAATATTAGAATGATCAATGATAATTTAAAAATAGAAGAAATACAGTTACAGAATCAGCTCAGAACTTTGGTGAATCAAAGTACAAATAATTTTACTAGCACAGTTACTAATCCAGAAATGGTACCAAGTACCAATAATTTTGCTACAGTTATTGATTCAGAAACAGTACCAAGTACCATAATTTTACCAGATTTTGTGATCCAGAAACAGTTTCAAGTACCACTAATTTTACAAGATTTTGTGATCCAGAAACAGTACCAAGTAGCAATAATTTTACCAGATTATATGATCCAGAAACAGTACCAAGTAAAACTAATTTTACCAGATTTTGTGATCCAGAAACAGTACAAAGTACCAATAATTTTACCAGATTTTGTGTGAGTCGTACAGTATCTTATCATCATGGTAAAAAATATTGTGTTTTACCGGTAACAGAAATAAATGATGCTGATGATAATGATGATAAGGCTGATGATGATAATGATGTTTTACAGACTAGATTTATCAATGGTTTAAAATCTACACTTTGTTAGATGAATTTATTTAATTAGGTTTTATATTTTTAATATTGTTGTTATATTTTTGTTATGATTTGTGTTGTTATATTTTTGTTATTATTTGTAAATAAATCAGTTTTATGAATGGAATCATTGTTGAGTTGCATTAGATATTCCATCCACTAGCTGCTCTACTTAATGTTGTAAAGCTCACGTCCAATGCAGAGGAATTATCATGGTGGCTCATTTTGTAGATTCAAAATAGAAGTACATGTAGTATGATTTTATATATTTTTTTTTCCAAACATGTATTCAAATTTGATAACAATAACAATATGAGCAATAACAATCAATAACAATAACAATACACATAACAAAATATTGCACTAAAATCGGTCTTGTTCAATTTGGTTTTAAAATGATATGTTGATGTCTTCCAGAAGGCTAAACATTTTCATATTTATCATTCTTTCTGATCCTTTGTAACTTTCAAGATGTTCTTGAAAACCATTCTAACATGCTGTACATTTTAAACCATTTTTAATAACAGTTACAGGAATATATCTTCTACTTGAACTTCCAGTCTT